CCAAGATCTGAACAGCAGGTGCCTGGAACATTCCAGAAACATAAGAAGGCTGGTGTGCTTGGAGGAGGGAGAGAAATGTATGAGATGGGGTTGGGAGCTTGGCAGGGGCCCAGGCACATGGGACCAGGGGGAAGAGTGCGCATTCAAGTCCAGGTGGGGGTATACAGTTGTAGGAGGGCCCACAGGAAGCCTCCTGACCTGACCACACATTCAGCACTTGCTCTGGCTTCTGGCTTGGTGGTGGACAGCAGGGAGGAGAGAGCAGAGGCAGATGGACTGGTAGGAATCCATGACAGGTCCTGGTGAGAGAAGAGGGACTTTGGGGTCACAGAAGAAGGGGTGGCCATTGACCAAGAAGAAGGTGGTGGTCGTGATGGGAGATGGTGGGGCACTGCAGCACCCAGTGTATGATGTCACTGGTGCTTGTGATGGGTCTTGTCTGTTCCAGGTGGTGGTGTATGGCCTCATCTGCCTCGCTCACCCAGGTATCCTGGTCTTGTCAGTCCTAGTCCAGGTTCCAGGCCTGCCTCAGGGGTAAATCTGGTAAGGTCGGCCTCTGCAGGGGCTCCTGGTGGACCTCAGGAGAACCCTCAGACCTGAATTGCAGCTCTTTGCACTCTGGCTGCATCCCTGTCCCTCCTCCTCCCCACCTTCTCATCGGGAGCTGCAGACCCAGCCATACTGGTGGTCACCTGCTGCCCATGCCGCTCCCGGCCGGCAGTGCTGGTCCTGTCCTGGACTTGTCCCCTGCAGCTCAGCTGATGTCTCAGCTCTTTTTCTTTCTAGACTTCGCTTAGAAACTTCCGCCTCCATTAAGTCACCTCTGGCCCTCCCTATGTGGGTTGTATGCTGTGCCCGCACGATCCATTCGAACCTGTACGCCTCTGTTTTGTTGAATGGTAGCTGCCTGTTTCCTCATCTGCTTCTCTGAGATCTCCACTCTGGGAGTATGTGTGCCTGGTGCTCGACCGTGTCCAGCTCAAGGCCTGGCGCTGACGTCATGCTTCACATGTGTTTGTTCATAAACGGCTTCTGTTCTTACCCTTGGGCGTGGCTACTTTGTCTCTGTACCTCTCTTCTCCCCATTATTATTATCAGTTTGTTGAAGTCACTGTTCTGCAGGCTTTCTAACTGGGACTGTCCTAGGTCTGGCTGTTGATAAAACACCATAGCCTGGGGGCGTAAACAGGACACTGGTTTTCTGCCAGTTCTGGAGGTGGGAAGTGTCAGGGAGCCAGAATGGTTGGATTCTGGTGAGGGCTGTCTTCCTGAGGGCCACCATCTCACTTTGTCCTCACATGGCAGGGGGAGAGAGCGAGCGAGCGCGAGTGCTCTGTTGGATCTGTGTTCGTATCAGGACCTCCCTCCAAGCCTCTTTGGGGTGATGGCTTCGGCGTGCATATTTTGGTGGGAGAACAGGTTTGGTCCACTGTGTACCTCATGGCCTGGAATTGGTGCACAGTAACTGGAAGTGGAGTAAGTTCTTTGATGATGGCTTCCATAGGCTGAAAAGACAGCAATGCCCTTTGCCCTTTTCTTCCCATTTTCAGTTCAGAAACAGCAGAAAAGGAGAGGAGACAGGTGGAAGGAGGTTGTGTGTTTATGTAACCGACATCTCACAGGTGCAGGTTAGCAGCTTGCCCGGTCACACAGCAGTCTGTGGCAGCGCCGGGCTCTGTGCCCAGCTCCAAGCTGATCTGGTTAGTCTGCTTCTCGGGGTGGGACCTGAAGCGGAGGATGTGGTTTGCGTGCCTGTCCACAAGGCCAATCTAAGAACCCGAGTTGGACTCGTGGGGTGACTTGTGCAAGCACGAGCCTTCCCATAGGCAGGTGCATGGGAGAGGAGGAGGAAGGGGTGGGCCCAGTTTCTCGGTCCCCTGGGGAGGGAGGGTGAGGTCTGGGGAGCAGGGGCGGAAGGATTCGCCATGCTCGGGTCTGGAATAAGGGTTCGTGTGAACTCAGTGGATGCCGTGGCCATGTGTCCCATTGTCAGGGGAAGGGAGCAACTTCCGCAGGCCATGGAGTCAAGGGCTCGGGGTCTGAAAGCCTTTGCTTCTGTTCCCCCAGAATTGGAACCTGAGCCCCCACCGGGCATCTCTGGGCTGGGACTGCCCGGTCCTGATGGGCCCAGGGGCCAGCAGGACTCTGCAGTGGCCAAGAAACACTCTCCTGGCAGCTCTCTCCATGCTTGTGACAGGTCCTGAGACAAAGGGACGGGATCCTCACCTGTTCTTCAGGAAGCAGGGAAGTGGGCTCTGGTGTGTGCCTTCAGTAGGCTCTGGGGCTGTGTGGGTGGCAGAAACGACACCAGGCATAGGGTCAGATGTCCTGATTTCTTGCCTGGCTCTCCCCTTTATTAGCCATAGGATACATGTGTCTTCATTTCCTTGCCTGTAATATGGGAATAACACTATTTGATTGCACAGGTGAGGATCAAGGTAATGGGGGAGAAGGTGCTTTGTAAAATTCATAACTGGAAAATTTCAAGTTGCCGTTGTCTGATTTCTCATGCGTTGCCTTCCCTTTCTCTCCACATAATTAAAATTTTTTTAAAAAGATTTATTTATTTGAGAGACAGAGAGAGAGAGAGAAGATCTTCCATCCGCTGGATCAGTCCTCAAATGGCTGCAATGACTGGAGCTGTGCTGATCCAATGCTAGAAGCTAGTTACTTGTTCTGGATCCCTGACATGGATGGAGGGGCCGAAGCACTTGGGCCATTTTCCCTGTTTTCCCAGGCCATATGCAGAGAGATGGATCATAAATGGAGCAACTAGGACTTGAACTGAAGCCCATATGGGATGCCTACGCCACAGGCAGAGACTACCTGCTGTGCCACAGTGCCAGCCCCCATAATTAATTTTTTTTTAAAAATTACTTATTTGAAAGGCAGAGTGACAAAGGAGAGACAAAAGATCTTCCATCTGCTGGCTCACTCTCCAAATGGTCACAATAGCTGAGGCTGTATCAGGCTGAAGCCAGGAGCCAGGAACTCTGTTTGGGTCTCAGACATGGGTAGCAGGGACTCAAGGACTTGGGCAGTCATCTGCTGCCTTCCCAGGTGCATTAGCAGGGAGCTGGACTGATGGCTACAGAGCTGAGACTCAGAATGGCACTCTGAGGGGGAACGTAGGCATCCTTAATGGCGATTTAACCTACTGCACCAAAATGCCCATCTTGGCATCATTTAAAGAACTTTTATCTATGTATGTATGTATGTATCTATCTATCTGTCTATCTATTTATATTTGAAAGAGAGGGAGTGAGAGCAACTACATGTGTGTGCACGAGAGATCAGTCTTCCATCTTCTGGTTCACTGCCCAAATGCCTGCAATAGCCAGGGCTGACCAGGAGCCAGGAACTCAGTCCAGGTCTCCCACATGGGTGGCAGGGATCTAAGTACTTGAGTCATCATCTGTTGTCTCTCGTTCCTATATTAGCAGGAAGGTGGAATTGAAAGTGGAGCTGGGGCTGGTGCTGTGGCACAGCGGGTTAACGCCCTGGCCTGAAGCGCCTGCATCCCATCTGGGTGCCGGTTCGAGACCTGGCTGCTCCACTTCCGATCCTGCTCTCTGCTATGGCCTGGGAAAGCAGTAGAAGATGGCCCAAGTCCTTGGGCCCCTGCACCCGTGTGTGAGACCTGGAAGAAGCTCCTGGCTCATGGCTTTGGATCGGCTCAGCTCCAACTGTTGCAGCCATTTGGGGAGTGAACCAGCAGATGGAAGACCTCTCTCTCTCGCTGCCTCTCCTTTCTCTGTGTAACTCTGATTTTCAAATAAATAAATAAATCTTAAAAAAAAAAAAAAAGAAAGTGGAGCTGGGACTTGAACCCAGGCACTATGATATGGGACGTGGGTGTCCACCCCCCCCCCCATTATTTCATAGCAGATCCCTGCTGATTTCTTCCGTTCTCTTCCCGCGGCATGAGTGCTCTGGGCCTCCTTCAGGAACCCTCCCTATCTCTTGGGGCCATGTGGATTCTTTGGGGCTGACCTTACCCCACAGCTCCAGGGACCCCAAGCCCATTATCTAGGCCTGGCCATGTAGAATGTTCCACCCCCAGACTACAGCAAGTGATTCAGATGCAACCCTAGACTGCCCTGTGGGCTGCTCCTGGGATTTTTGCTGGAACTTTTGGGAAAGGCTTTGATTTCCTGGTTGGCATTGCAGAGCTAGCGGAATGTGAGCTGGGAGCTGTGGGGCTGTCGTTGGCATCTTACGGGGACAGCCTGCAGGGAAGCAGAATGGAGGGCTGGGGATAGACACACAGCATCCTGTTGACCTGCGAGAGCTCCTGGATCCAGCCGTGCCTGAACAACATTGATTGGGAGTGAGGTGGCTTCACTTTTCTTCTGTTTGCTGTTCTGTGAAGTGTTACTCACATCCCATCCAGATTTTTCTCCTGGACTCTTCTGTCTTCCTCCCAGATTTAAAGGAACTATTGGTTTACTTACTTATTGGTTTACTTACTGAGGTGAGATTCCCATAACAAAAATGAAGCATTGCAAAGAGTACTGTTGGACAGCTGTGGGCACTTCGCAAACATTTCCTAATCACGGAGCTTCCCCGAAGCAGGCAGGCAGTCGCTCCCCATTTCCCACGTGGCACCCCCCCTCTTCCCCGGGAAAACACCAATCTCCTTCCCATCTCTGTGATCGATCTGTTTTGGAGATTTCCTGTTGGTGGACTCATGATCTATGGCTACCTTTTTTTTTTTTTTTTAATTTAGTGTGATTTTTAAAAATCTTCAGTTTTTGTTTCAAAGGTAGAGAGAGAGAGAAAGAAAGAGATCTTCCATCTACTGGTTCACTTCCCAAATGCTCATAGCATTTGGGAGCCTTGGAACTCAACCTGGGTCCCCTAGACGGGTAGCAGGGATCCAAGAACCAGAGCCATCAGCTGCCACCTTGTAGGGAGCTGAAATTGGGAACTGGAACTCAAACCTAGGCCATCGGATGTTGGATCCCAGGAGGCATCTTTTTTTTTTAATTTTTAAATTTTAATTTATTTTTTAAAATTTATTTTATTTATTTGAAAGAGTTATGGAGAGAGGTAAAGCCAGAGAGAGAGAGAGAGAGAGAGGTAGGTAGGTCTTCCATCCGCTGGTTTACTCCTCAAACAACTGCAATGGCCAGAGCTGAGCTGATCTGAAGCCAGGATCCACGAGCTTCCTCCGGGTCTCCCATGTGGATGCAGGGGCCCTAGGACTTGAGTCATCTTCCCTGCTTTCCCAGGCCACAGCAGAGAGCTGGATTGGAAGCAGAGCAGCTAGGACTCGAACTAGCACCCATATGGGATGCCAGCGCTATAAACTGGGGCTTTAACCCACTGTTAAAGCCACAGCACCAGCCCCCTGCCTTTAAAAAATATTTATTTATTTATTTGAAAGTCAGAGTTACATCCAGACCAGGGGTGTGTTGGTGTGGGGAGAGAGTGAATCGATCTTCCGCCTGTTGGTTTCCTCCCCAGATGGCCATGATGGCCGGTACTGGGCCACGCTGAAGCCGGGAGCTTCATCTGGGGCTTCCACATGGGTGGCAAGGGCCCAAGCGCTTGGGCAATCTTCCCCTGCTTTCCCAGACCTTTGGCAGGGAGCTGGATTGCAAATGAAGCAACCAAGACAAGAACCAGCCCCCGTGTGGGATGCCGGTGTTGCAGACAGTGGCTTTACCTGCTACACCACAATGCTGCCCCCTGCCCCACGGAGGCATTTGACTGCTGCATCACACACCTACCGCAGCGTGGTGTTTTTACAGCTCACCCACGCTGTGGTGTGTATCAGCACATCACTTCTTTTCATGACTGAGTAATATCCCCCGTGAGCAGAACCACGTTTTCTTCATCCATTCATCCATTGGTGGGCATCTGGGCTGTTTGCATTTGCTGGCTGATGAGAACATTTGGTTCAGGTAGTGTATTGGAGGAAGTAGTCCTGGGTTGTCTTTGTGCCTACAATGCTTTTTGCCAGGCAGAATTGTGGAAAGATTGTCATGCAGTGGAATTTGTCAGGCACTTCCGGCTTCTGGATTTTGTGGCCAACCTTATGCTTTAGGTGATAAAATATTCTCCCATCCATGTTTGCGCTGGCCAGCTCATTTCCTTATCAGTAAAACAGGAATTAAAAATGGCTCTGCTTGGCCTCAGGGTTGTTGTGGGCACCGAGCAAGACAAATGACTCGAAAAGGCTTTTACAAAACACGGTACGGTGTACACCCTAGCAAGCGTCACTCTTGCTGTTCAAGTCTCGTGTGGTGGCACCACCAGCTGAGTTCCAGTCCTGCTTCCCTGTGCACAGCTGAGGAGAGGACAGGACTGCTCCCTGAGCCAGCCAGGGACACAGTCATGGGCAGCCAAGTGGAGGATGTCGTGGGATTAGTCATGTTGGATTGGGGTGGGCATGGGGGGTGGAATGCTTACATTTGACCAGAAAAATAAAATTGCCTTGAACTGAACGCTTTTTTGTTTCTGGTTCTGGTCACTCTTCCTTCAAGTGGAGGTTTTCTTGTTGTTGTTTTGCTTTTGTTTTTCTGTACCAGGCAAGAAACCAGTTCAGTGAGTTCTGTATTATTCAGCTGTGCTTCTAGTGGTAGCCTCACTCACAGTCATTTGTGGCTTGTTTTTGTGGTATTTTTAACTCCACATTCTCTGTTTCAAATGGAAAACTTTGAGTTGGACACTGTTTTGAAACAAATACAGAGAGGGTGAAAAATTAGGTTAATCCTGGACAGGAACTCCTTCTCTGACGACCTTGGGAATAGAGTCATAGCCTGGGTATGTCCCTGGGCCCTGGGGAGGGCTGGGCCTGGGCTTGAACACAGGTCAGTCTCTAGCTCGCTGTGTGACCCGGCCCAGCTGCTGCACTGTGCGGGGCCTCTGTTTCTCCAGGAGTGAGCATAGCACCCGACCCACAGCGATGGAACAAGTCAGGGACAAAAGTCTGTGTAGAGTGAGTGGCTCCTGAGCATATGGAAGGAGCACTGAGTAAATACTAGCTCGTGGTCTCACTCAAGAATATTTGTATGAATTTGGGCCAAGAGCCCCAGGGAGATGGACGGTACAGATCAAGTCACTGGGGACAGCCCCTCCCTGTTGCTGCCTGTGAAGTGCAATGTTAGGCATGGCTGTTGGTTCTAGCACAGCAAGGACAAAGTGGCCTTGCAGTGACGATGGGTGCAGGAGGGTTGCTTGTGGCTGGGGCAAGCAAGGGCGACCTGGAGGGAGGGGGCACGTGCCAGGCCCTGCCTTGGTCACAGCTGCTCTTCTCGGGCTAGAAGATGTGGGATGATGGGGTTTCACTGTGTGTGGTGGTGATGGAGCCCCCAGGAGTGCAACTGTGTTTCATCTCTTCCTGCTCCCAACCCCAGAGCTCTGGCCGCTGGCCCACTTGCTTTGGCCCTAAAGAAGAATAGATATCCTTGCGCCTTCTTGCTTGCTGCCAAGCACTGTAAATCCGTGATCACATGGGATCTTGTGTAGCGACTGAGGGCAGTCACCTGACAGATTAGGAAACTGAGGCCCAGAGTGGGTGTGGCAGTTCCAGCAGGCCCCTATTATAGTGCTAAGTGGCAGAGCCGGAGCGTAAACCGCCTTGTGTCCTACCCGACAATCAGCTTTCCCTGGCCTTCACCACGTGGCTCCACGCTGGACTCTGCTTCAGTTCCTAAGGCTTTTCTGTGACATTTCCGTGGTTCCGTGCCTTCCATGTGGGTCTCCCAGGAATGTTTGTGGATTTTAAATTTTAATCATGGTGAAGAGAGCTGACATTTACTGAGCCCCTGCCTCTGTGTGAGGTCACTTGCTGAAGTTCTCCTGAGCTCTGGGTTCGTGGCACAGCGGGGGGAGGCACCCACACAGTCACTTTGCAGGGTGTTCTCTCTGCATTCCCAGGTTTCTTTGAGTCCCCAGGCTTGGTCCAGGGCTGCTAATCCCCCGGTGACTCTTGTGGCCTCGGCTGGTTTTGGCTCATCAAAGGAGAATGGCACAGGGCCTGAGCATGCATTAGGAGGGTCAGGCAAGAGGTGACAGCAAGTCTGCGGGGCTCCAGCTTCTACTGAACTTTGTGACCTCCAGTGTCCGGCTCAAGGCTGTAATAAGCCCATGACTCACTCAATTGGACTTCTCCTTGGGCTTGGTCTGAACACACCCTGTGCTTTCATACCTGTGGGCCTTGGCTGCTTGCTCTGTAGGCGCATGTAGCTCTACCTCACCCCTACCTGGCCTGTTTGAGGACCCCCGTGGCTCGCCACCTCCTCTAGGAAGTCTCCAGGGACTGGCCTGGATAATGGATTCATTTCTGAACCCACACCAAGTCATATGCTGACGGGAGTCTACTCTTATTTTGAGATATTTGTGAAAACTTCCAGCAGGGGACACTCAGGTGTGAATGACTGAACGTGGGACATTCCACTGGTCGGCCACCGTCCAGTGCTTTATCCCAGCTTCACGGCCTCCTTCTACTCAGATGCATGTGCAGTGGGTTGGCTTGCTCTCCTGGAAGGCGGAGACTAAGCATTTCTCAGAGCGGACTCTGGTGTCTGACAGCCTGAGTGGGAATGCTGCTTCCTCAGGCACATCACTTCCTATATCTACTCCTCCACCCCTTCCTCTGTAAAAGACCAATGCTTACATCTGTGGTGGGCACAAACTCCTTGTCCCCAAGGAGTTTGGCGGGGGATATAACTGGAGACGCAGAATTGCTGTCATTTATTGAGTGCTTACTCCGTGCTGGCTGCAGCTTAGCTTTGAGGTCTTGCCTTTGAAAAAATGATTCATTCATTTATTTTTATTTATTTGAAAGAGAGATAGAGAGATCTTCCATCTGTTGGTTCACTTCCCAAATGGCTGCAACAGCCAGGGCAGGGCCAGGCTAAAGCTAGGAGCTGGGAACTCCATCTGGGTCTCCCACGTGTGTTCCAGGGGCCCATTGAGTTGGGCCAGCTTCTGCTGCTTTCCCAGGTGCGTTAGCAAGGGGCCGGATTGGAAGCAGAGCAGCCAGGATTCAAACCAGTGCTCGGATATGGAGTGCCGGCGCTGCGGGCAGCAGCTGAGCTCGCTGTGCCAGGACACAGGCTCCAGCTTTGCATTCTTCCTTGATGTTTCCAAGAGTTCCCCTCCTCCTGAATGGCCCCCACCAGGCGATATTCTTTCCCCACAACACTTAGCCTTCCCTACCCTATTATATAATTGACTCATTATGTTGATTTCTCGTCTTCCCTTCCCAGGGCCTCTAGCTTGGTACAGCTCCAGGGGCACCATTCACAGCACGCTGTGCTCCAGGGCTGCTATTGCTGAGAATAGTCTGTGAATGGTGGTGGCTCCCAGAGCTGTGTGATTCGCAGGCCCTGGAGTTCCAGGATTGTGTGTGTGTGTGTATTTTGATTTTCATATTCCTGTGCCCACTGTGGTGCTGCACCTAGACTCAGCTTTTGGGAGACAATTGCTGGAAGCATAAGTGGAAGAGTCCCTGCCCCTCACCCCCTAGAGCCCATTTTACTGCTGAGGAAAATGGGGCTCAACAAGTCAGGAATTTGTCTAAAACCCCACAAGCCACTGGCCCAGGTCCTGCTTGCATATCTGGTCTCACAGGCTTTGCGAAGCTGTGTGTCTGGAACTCTGGGCATTGTCCCTGCCACCAAGTAATTGCTCAACAAACAGCAGTGCCCTTGGCCACGTGGGTCAGGCCCTCCCCTCAACCCCAGACCGAGCACACGCCATCTATGGAGAGGCTGCGTGCAGTTGCACACAGCAAAGAAAAGGGGGATCTTTTGTTTTAGAAAGAAAAATCCCTGACCCAGTGGCTGGCGGCTGGAATCTGCGGGAGGCTCCCAGGCCTTTCCAGCCCTGTTCGTCTTCCTGCTGTCTTTCCTTTTGTGAGCGTTTCTTCCCCTTTCTGCTTGCAGTGAGTTCTGCTCTCCTGTAGGCTACAATGTGTCAGTTGTTATAAAATCCGGGAGGCGGAGCCTAGTGACGAGGCGAGGCGGTGGGGGAGAGCTCGCTGCTGCCGGCCCTGCAGGACGAGCAGTCGGCCCAGGGGTTCGCGGAGCTTCGGCGTTGCAGTGCGAAAACTTCCAGCTTGCTCTGCTGGCTTTGATCCTCGCTGGACATCAGATCCGAGGCGCCGAAGGGAGGGAGGATGCGAGATGACCGGCCCTCTGGCAACCTGACCATCTCCTTAGCCTTGGAGAGCGAGCCGGGAGCTGACTGCACGACCCAGGAGGCGCCCCGCCTCTCCGTGGATGTGTGTGAGTGAGCGAGCGGGTGTACTGTGTGCATGTGAGGGTGTGTGTGTGAGTGTGGATGTGTGTGTGCACACTACAACTGTGTGTAAGCGTGTCTGGGTGAGTGTGCGCATGCACGCATGAGTGTGTATGTGTGTGTGTGTTTGTGTGTGAGTACTCTTGGTTATTATTTTTTTTTTGGAAGAAAATTCTTGAAAATCTGGGGCAGGTTACCATGCTCCTAGGGTGGGTCTTCTGCAAGAGGAGCTGACCAGAGCAAGCTGCTGGAGCCATTTCTCTGCAAGAAAAGAGAATTTTCCTCCCTGAAGGAGAAGGATTTGGGCCCCTGCTCTGCAGCTCAGTGGAAGAGATTAGCCCCTAAACCTGTGAAATCGACCAGAGCAGTGTGATTACCGTAGCCGGAGAGAGGACTTGGGAAGAAAAGGAGAAAGAAAGCCAACAGCCTGCCAGTGCCTTCAGCCGTGTCGGAAGATGTCATCTCAAACTAAGTTCAAGAAAGACAAAGAGATCATCGCTGAATACGAGGCTCAAATAAAAGGTGAGCTGTGGGCTGGGAGTTTCCCCTCCTCCCCTCTCGCTCGGCCCCGGCCCCGGCCCCGGCTCTGCCCTGCTCTCCTCCCTGCCATCACGCAATGCCGCTGTGCATCAATAATCTTATTGTGCAGAGGAACGGCCGCGGCCACACAAGTCCAGGCTGGTTTCAGCTGCGGGGAGCTCGGGCTGGAGTGTGGATCAGAACACGGGCAGCGTTCTCTGCATTGCAGGTGTGCGAGGAGGATCCTACGCCTGACTTGGGAGTGTCGCGGGCACTCCATCATCTTGGCAGTGACATGTCACTCTCAGGCCATTTTGACAGTCTTCCCCATCAGGGCAGAAGCCCCTTAGGACTGCTGTGTGTTGCCCCGATCTGCTCCCCCCGCCCCTGCTGTGGTTTTTGTTGGTGGTGGTGGTTTTGTGCCTGCCTTTCCCTCCGGCTGGAATTCACATGCATGTGCACAGGCAGGCGGTGGCATCCTTGGGCGGCACTTCTTTGTCGGTGTCTCTCGCTGGCCTGGATGGCCATGGATTAACGGTTATGGGGCTTATTGATCCAGGCTAATGCAGGCATTTAGGCGTAAAGAGGAAGCTCAGTGCAGAGAATGTGTTCCCTCTTGCTGTGCCGCCCAATGGCTGCGTGCACCAGCGTTTAGTGTCAGCAGCTTTCGTTCAAAGCCAGCACCTCAGTGTGCCGTTTGCGCTGGTAGGCGCTGCCCGGCTTCCTGGATCCCGGGGAAGCCTGCCGAGAGGGTGGGATGACCGCTGGCTGCGAGCTCCAGCTCTGGTGCCACTGGAGACAGACTTCTGGGGAAGCCGCTCCCTGGATCCCTGTGAACCAGGAGGGCGCTTCAGGGAAGGACACGACCGCAGAGCTAAAGGCAGCTGGGGTGGGGGAGTCTTCGTTGGAGCAGACGGGGGTCTTTGCTCACCCGCCACGGCCTTGGTTCAGCCTGGGCTCAATCTGCCCTGCTTACCCTTTCTCCAAGGGTGTGCCCCAAGGGAAGCCTGGGCCCCTGCCCCTCGGTGTCCGTCTTCTTCCTGACTGTGACGCTCCTTGCTGCGACACAGGGTGTGCTGTGGTCTCTGAAGGAAAGAGGGCATGCAGAATCGTCCCCGGTGGCCATTGGGGCCCATGTCTGCCGTTACCATTTGACCGCCGAGCACCTTGGCTTACCTGGGGCTTGAGCCATTTGAGGTGGCCACACCTGCTCCCAGTGCCCCTGGCAGGGGGGCAGCCTTCCCAGGCTTCTCAGTTGCTCTGCACGCTTCAGACGCTGGGGAACTTTGGGAGGGCAGCGGCCACCAGGGCAGGGCTCTGTTTTTCTTACCCTGGTCTCGCCCACAGTCTTTGGCCTTTTAGTTCTGGTGAAGCCAGCATGCCAGTGACCACCAGGCAGACCCTGGCCTTTAAGAGCAGAGAGCCCTGCCTTCCCTGGTCTCCTCCTCCTCGGCTTGCAGCGCGGGGGTGAGCACAGGGGCTTGCCAGGTTTCAGCCTTGCTGACAGTCCAGAAGCAAGCCCTTGACCGGTGAACGCGCTCGGCCTCTCCCTACAGAAGCAGAGCCTGAGAACACACACTTGGCCGCGAGTGTGTGCCTTATCAAGCTCATCTGGCCGGTGGTGTTTTTAAGGAGGGGCTGGGGACGGAGAAGTGGGGTTCTGGCCAGTCTGGGTTTTGGGAGCCGGGTAGGAGCGGGTGCGTCTTGTGTCTGGAGGGCTGCGGCTGTTGGGCCAGTGAACTTTACTCGGAATCAGCTAAGCACCGATGCCTCCGGCGGATTCTTTTACTCTTTACCTTTCACCTTTTTAAACAACCGATCAGTACGTAACCAGGTAAGGAATTTCGTCAGGAAATTTGTCTATGCAATCTCATCTCTAACATTCTCGAAATTTCTCTGCATTCTGGTCAAGGGAATTCAATTTCATTTCTGTGGAGTTGGCACCTGCGAGACGCGGGTCCAGCGACTGCGCTGCCCCAGATCCTCTGGGGCCTTTTCTTGCCATACAGCGCTGATTGCGCTTCTTGCTGCCTGCATGCTTTCTGGGGCTCCCTCCCAGATGTCCCATACTCGGCCCCCACAGCCTACCGAAGGGTTCATCCCCGTGGTGGGGAAACTGAGGCCCAGTTGTGCTGAGTGACTGGCTGCAGGTCACAAGGCCAGGCTTCTCCCAGGCCTGCTGTCCCCGGGTGCATTGTTGGCCTGCGCGGGATTGATGTTGGAGGCAGATGGCAGTTTTGTGGTGGGGACCGCGGCCTCCTGATCAGGGCCATTGTTCACCCTCTGAGTTTCACCGTGGCCTTTGTGGCTCGCCTCCGAAGCCCGTGGGACCAAGCCCTGGAAATAATGCCCAGGGCCGGTGATCTTTCTCTGGTGTCGTCTGGCCCACCGAGCTGGACGGGCTTTCGTGTGCCGTGGATTTTGTGAAGGGAACTTTTGAATTTTAAAAAAGGTGAACTCTTTGCTGACTTATTTTCTTTCATGTCTTTGTGAAGAATTTTCTGACCTAACAAAGGCAGTGTTTCTTTGCTGTTGTAAACCCTTCTACTCTCCTGCCTTCTCTTGTGCCGTCAGATGTGTGAACCCCTTTGCTCATACACCTGTGTGGTGGTCGTGAGCCATGTACGTGCACAGTTCCAGCGATGGCAGCTCATCCAGCCAAGCCCACGTATCCCATTTTTGCACAGTTCTGGCCCTCACACAAGCCACTTTTTCGTACATTGCACCGAGTTGTTTCCTCATCCCCCTATTGGCTGTGTAGTTCTTACCTCTTGGGACTTAATAGTCCAGGTGCTTCTCCCCTGTTGCCGCTGCATGGGTGTCTGGAGCCTCTGGTGATAGCCCCGGACTTCGGTGATCCACGCTGGCTTAGGTCAGGTGGTTCACGGCTGCTCTTCCTGTCTCCAGTATCCTTCGCATCTACCGCATCCTGGCCTGAAACTGCAGGTCTTAGGGGGCCAGGCAGAGAAAATGAACAAGGGAAGTCAGCCCAGAGAGGGTGTTCACGGCAGCTGGCCCCGTTCAGCGGGGCGGCAGAGGAAGGGGTGGCGTTGATCGTGAGGGACCTGTCTTAAACGGCAGCTACAACTCAGGTTCAGCTACTTGTAGTCGTTAGGAACAGAAGGCCAACTGGCTCCCGATTTCCAGCAGAGGCCAGAACTCTGGATCAGAGCTGTGTGTCTTTAAAGAGGTTCTGCCAAAGGGGCTTCTAAAAGATCGCTGTCATCGTCCTGCCCGGATAGTGGTGCTGAGCTCCACGTGTGCGTCTCCGGATGTGTCTGGAGAAAGGAAAGGATGATCACCTCCTCCGTGCTGCCTGTGCTGCTTCCGTTAACATGGCCCAAGGGCTGAGTTAGCCTCTTCGGCTGGTCACCCACTCCTTGCACTGGGTGCGTTCTGTCAGCTGTGGTGTTACCGTCTCCCAGGCTAGGAGCCTTGCGAGAAGGAAGAAGATGAGTTGAAGGTCACACGGCTTCTCGGTTCCCCTGTGCTGCCTTCTCATGGACACAGCATCCTGCTCCAGGTGCTCCCAAGTGGCCCTTGACCCCTCTGGTCAAGAACCTTGCCTGTGACATCACTCTCTCCGGCCTGGAACTGGCCAGCTCTGTCTCCTGTCCCCTTTGGAAATCAGAACGGCATCTGCTTCCTGGCAGCCGTCCTGCTCTCTGCACACCCTGCAGGTCATCGATAGTGTCCGCAGGCCCTCTCGGCTTCCTGGGCTCTGATTCCTCTCGCCGCCAGCCACGGTGGCCTGGTCTGCATTTGTGCAGAGTTCCTGTCTCCACTTCAATCTAATAGAATATTGCAATTGAAATACAGAGATGGACTTCAGTGTTTCCATTTTTACTTTTTTTTAAAGATTATTTCTTTGAAAGGGAGAATGACACAGAGAAAGGGAGAGATAGAGATTTTCTTTCTGCTGGTTCAATCTCCAGCTGGCTACAATGGCCGGGGCTGGGCCGTGTTGAAGCCAGGAGTCTGGGACTCCATCTAGGTCTGTCAGGTGAATGGCAGGGCCCCAAGTATTTGGGCCATCATTCTCTCCTTTTCCAGGTGCATAAACAGAGTTGAAAGGGAAGTAGAGCAGCTGGGACTTGAACCAGCACTCTGATGTGGGATGCCCATGTTGTAGACTGCAGCTCATCTCAGTGCGCCAGCCACAATGCTGGTCCCTCAGTGTTTATTTTTTATTACATGTCCACATTTACTTCAGGCTGTCTTTTTTTTTTTTTTTTGAAATATCTGTTTATTCATTTGAAAGGCAGAGCTACAGAGGGGCAGAGGCAGAGAGGTGGGGAGAGAGGTCTTCCATTTTCTGGTTCACTCCCCAAAAGGCCACAACAGCCAGAGCTGTGCCAATCCAAAGCCAGGAGCCAGGAGTTTCTTCCAGGTCTCCCACATGGGTGTAAGGGCCCAAGGACTTGGGCCATCTTCCACTGCTTTCCCAGGCCACACCAAAGAGCTGGTTTGGAAGTGGAGCAACCAAGACTCCAAGTGGCGCCCACGTGGGACGCTGGCACTGCAGGTGGTGGCTTTACCTGCTACACCACAGTGCCAGTCCCCAGGCTGTCTTCTTAATAACACAAGCCTTGAACCAGGGGAGGAAGGGCAGGTACAGAGGGCAGTCCCCTCCAGGAGCTGGTGTTTACTCATTCATTCATGCATTAATTCAGCAAACACTGATGACCTGCGTTGTACTTGGTGCTGGGCATTAGGGGAGATGCAGAGTGTGCAGGGTACATTCCTTTTTTTTTTTTTTCTTTTGAATTTTCTGGGAATATGTTGATGGGAAAAAAAAGAGAAGGAAATAAAGCACACAAAACTTCCAGTTGGGCAGCAGAGCTGAGTCTTGAAGCATATGTGGCATGCAGTGACCTCCTTGGGACACTCACTGACTTGAGCAGGACTTTCCCAGGCAAGCAGGCTGGATGGGGGGGCAGTGGGGTGTAGTGGGGCCTGTGGCCCACCTGGGAGCACACCTAGGGGTGTAGCTGCTTGTCCCT